TTGGGTGGACCTCGGTCAGTTTTGTTCATTTTGTGACAATACCTTCAATTCTATTTTGAGTATATTTCTGTCATTTTTGGTAAAAAATTATTTTCTTGAAAATTGCTTGCCATGTTATTCCAATGGAATTTATTGACTGATTGATTTGACAACGGAGCTTATATCAGCCAACAAACTTCTAAATTTGTAACTGGGCGTTAATTTTCTAACTGACATCAGCTCTATTCTTTTATCTTGCATCATTTCTTAAACATACCTGGACAAAAATTTGTTTAAAGCTGGTATTATATTCTTCTTTTGTTCCCTCAGTAATTTGAAAAAAAAACTTACAGCAAGACATAATGGGAGTCTTTGTGATTACTCTGTCTGTTCCTCTGTCTGTTTGTTTGTTTGTGAAGCTTTACATAAGTGACTGCTACTTCAATGAGTCTCAAATTGGCAGAACTTGAATATTATGGCATTCAACTTTCCCATCACTGTCACTTCAAAATGGAGATAACATTTTTAGTCCCCGTTCGGACGCTGTCTTCAAACAGGGACTTATGTTTTGACCTTTGTGCTTCCGTGCGTGCGTTCATACCTGTATGTTGGAAATGCCTGGACCAATCACAATCAAACTTCACACATACATCATACATGATATTATACATACGCACATCAATTTGTTTCACGATCTGATTCAAGATGGCCGAATGGCGGCCATTTTTGTGCTAAAAAGTCATCAAAATCAAGCATTTCTCGACTGTTTACAGATGGATTTTGTTCAAATTTAGTATATTCGCTGAACATTATAGGACCTTGATGCACATCATTTTGTTTTTCAGATAGGATTCAAAATGTTAAACAATCATCAAAAAAATATTCCTGACATGGTTATATTCCAGTTATATTACTATAAATAAAACTATATACATGTATCTTAAATTTAATAACTAACAGGGACTGTGCCATGCATGGCTTGTTGTGTTTATATTTTGGTTTTCATAACTCATGATAGAAGTGTTTACAAAGCAAACCGAGCAGATATCAACATTAAAAATACTTTTACAAATTTTGTGTGGATTCGTGACAAGAGAAATAAATCTTTTTGTGCAATACAGTTTAGACATATTTGTGAAGAATTCTGAACAAAGATTTTGCCGTTCTCTGGAGTAATTACCTCTATTGAGGAATCAAAGTTGTGCTGCACAGTTACTGTAAATTAAAATGTGACCATTTAAAATGAAATGAATCTGAAATCTCACTCGAGGTATCGTATCATGTTATATTGTGCATGAAATTAAGCAAACGTAGACAACGTGAACAACAAGAACAAAAACAATTTCAACCCTATCTGTGTGACTTTGTGGTGACATTTTTTGAATAATTTGTTGTGAATTTCATGCCTGAACAAGGATTTTGAGAAACTATTCATCCCAGCAGTTATGAATAATCAATCGCTATTTTATTTTTTGTTCATAATTTTTTTTGAATCAGAAGTCTGCATGAATAATTATTCTGACTGTGTAATGTTTTAGTTATTGAAAAATATGAAATTTTTGCTGCAAACAAAATTATATAATGTTACATTTGTGTCTCTATACTGTCTAACATTTTATTTTTGATGCTACTGTAAAATAATTTATTTTCGCTGGAATTAAAAGTTGTTTTGCTTGTTTTGTATGAAATTTATTTTCACCGATTTTTGATGAGTTGTATGTTAAATATAAAAAAAAAAAAAGTATATCACTGGATTTTATTTTCGCAGAATCATCCCTTCAGTGAAAATAAATTCCAAGTGGAAATAAAGTATTTTACAGTACTGTAGAATACTTTATTTTCGCTTGGAATTAATTTTCGCTATTTTCGCTGAAGGAATGATTCAGTGAAAATAAAATCCAGCGAATATACCTTTTTTCCTATATTTTACATTAAACCCATCAAAAATCAGTGAAAATAAATTCTATACAAAACACCCAAAAAGTCTTTTCAGCGAAAATAAATTCCAGCGAAAATAAAGTATTCCACAGTATTCATTTTTGTGATAATATAAAGGCGTTTAAGATGATTTTACAAAAAAAGTCCTAGCATCTACAAAATGAATCTTCAATACAAATTGCTGCCAAGATCTCATTGAAAGAGCTAAGGGAATTGTTTAAACCCCCCCCCCCCCAATATTTTTCCATTTTCTACCTTGTTTTTTATGTACCATACCTTTATTTTCATTATAATCTTATTAAGCCTTATGGATTAAGAAGATATATGTAGAAATTATACCTTTGGAGTAAGATGCATTGTTGAATGTAATACCTTTCAAGATTAATAAGGTTCATGTTATAATATGTCAAAACATGTCTACATATAAAATGGGCATGGTGGTGGTTGTGCAGTATGTGTTCACATTTTGTGTATGTTAAAAATGCCTTGCAATGGATGATTAATAAGGTATATATATTAACATGAAATAGCTTTAAAATGAGGTACATGTTAAAATGTTTGCCTTTCAAGATTAATTAGGTATATGTTAAAATGTAATTTCTTTCAAGATTGATAAGGTGTATATTAACATATAATACTTTTTGAGATTTATAAGGTATGTGTTAAAATGTAATTTTCTTCATGATCAATAAGGTGTAGGTTAACATGTAATACCATTCGAGATTAATAAGGTATAGCATATAATAAAATGTAATACCTTAAAAGCTTAATCAGGTATGTTTTAAAATAATTTCATCAAGATTAACAAGGTATATATCAAAATATGGTAATGGCTTTTTAATATTAATAAGGTATATGTTAAAATGTGATGCCTTTCAGGATTAAGAAGGTAATGTTGAAAAAACGCTACATTTGGAGGATTGACTGAATACTTGTATTCATTGTGTATTTATTGTTAATTGTTACGGCCTGTGCTGTGATGTCACAAAAGTCATTGTCACAATCAATAAGAAATTGAAAAGTACATTTTTTTTTCAAGCTCTTAAGAATATGTCACCAATTTTGTATATCTGATTATTTAATTGTACATATGAATTAAACTGAATTTTGGAAATAACTTTTCTGTCATTGAACGTGTGGGAAAATTCTT